TTTATAAGTTAAGCCTGTCCTGGAGAAAATAAAAAGTTAGAACCTGAAACAACACAACTGTGAAACTCTATTGTCTGCTTTGGTTTTGTATGCTGTCAAAACAAGGAAGAAAAAATGTAACCTAAAACATCTAATAGATACATGTACATGTACACAAAAAAGAGTGAAACTGGAGAGAAAATATGAAGAAGCGTTTAGCTTCAAGTACACATTTCTCAAGATCTTCCCTGTTAGTATAAAACTGGAGTGATCTTGAAATAGGGCAGAACACTCTTTGCTGCATCTGAATAAAATGTTGGACATGGAGATCAATGCTACACTATACACGAACTATGGGTGATGGCTACCAAAACAGCTCCACTCCATCAAATGAAGTAGAAAAGTATCTTGAGAACTTATACAAGACTAAAGACAGAAGTCTACACATAACATCATTATGTACTGACATCATTGCACCAATCGGCATCCTACTCAACATGGTCTTTCTCTTCACAGTCATTCGAGTGAAGTCCATGCGTACAATCATCAACATCTACTTATCCAATCTGGCTGTACGCTGACTCACTCTTCCTAACAAATGACTTACTATATGCACTGTTTATTCAACATATAGACTCCTTGCACAGGGCAGCCACAGGTGTTCGTTATATGTTTTTAGCAGTTTCTAATTTCTTTGTGGTCACCATAGCAGCTGAGAGATTCTCTGCAGTGCGCAATCCTCTGCCATTCAAGGAAAAAGCCTCTAAATCTCGAGCAGCAAAGATATCAGCAGGACTCTGGGTGCCAACAATTATTGTTGGTGTGATTCTGATATTTGTTCCAACAACAGACACTGTCTTCGCTGACATCTTCTTTTGGATTCCTTCCATCATCAACACTGTCTGTTTTATAGCAACTCTTGCTTTGTACATCTATTTAGTAGTGAAAGTACGCAATCAATCAGCCCTGTTGCCAAACCGTCCCAAGCTAACTGGCAAGGTCCTCCGTATGGTTATCATCAATACTGCTGTTTTCTTCATTTTGCACTTACTGGATATTGCAGCTGTAATTGCTACATGTACCATTGTGGCAAGCAATCTTTCAACACTTACGCTTTCCCAGAATGTTGAAAATCTAAAACTTGGAGAAAAACTTGTTATTCTAGCTCGTTGTACAGACATCTTGCAACTTATCAATAGCTCAATCAATTCCCTAGTCTACAGTGCCACAAATGCTGACTATCGTGAAGCTGTAGTCAAGGCTTTCTCAGTCCTTAAACTGTGCTGTCGTTGCTGCCCAAGACGGAATCCCAGCCGACCATCGCAGCCAGGGAAGCAGATTGAGCTTCATGTGATTCCACATGCAGGCAGAAAATGACCAAGAGCACCGTGCTGCCAGGCCAAGCAGCAGCAAGCCAAGCCAAGGGCATGCACAACACAAAAAGAGTCAGCAGTCACTGGACAGCCATCAAGAACAATGTTCCAAGCCAAGCAGCAGCAAGGCATCCATGCACAGTCAGCAGCATGTTCAAGTGCATGTTGAGGTTCATGTACATGTAGAACCAGCAGGAACCCCAGCGCTTGCAAGTTCTCATGTGGGACAATGCTCTAGTCTGACTGACTGCAAGCCATCCATGCAAGGGGAACAGTGGGTGCATCCAGAACCAGCAGTGAGCCAACAGTCACTTGCAAGTACTCAGGAACAATGTCCTGGGCTGACTGGCACCGAGCCATCAGCACAAGGGCAGCAGTATGCACATCTAGAACCAGAAGGGAGTCAATCTTTGGAAAGTTGTCAAGAACAATGTTCTCTGGTAACTGATGAGTGCAAGCAATCCATGTAAGGGCAGCAGTGTGTACAGTCAGCAGATAGTCAGCAGTGTTTGCCAAGTTAGTGTACAGCTATAAAGTGTTGTCTATATATATAAGAGAGAAGTTTACTCGCCCCCGAGACGATGTTTGCTCATGAAAGGATCCGAGACCGCTGGCTCACGCGGCGCCAAAATCACTCCACGTCCGTGGAAAAATGCGGAGGGTGTCTTCCGCCGGGTCGGACACTTCGGGTCGTCCTAATTTTCCCGTACGGACCGGCGATCCGTTTCGTCGATTTTTCATGACTGCGTTTTGCGCAGGAATTTGCCGTCGTGTGCGCTTTCACGTTGACTGCCTGGCCGCCCCCTGTGTTGGCTTTTCTGCGAGTCTAGACTGTGCGAGGTCAGCAAGGTCAACGTAGGGGTTTTGTTTACGTGTTCTACTCAGCCGTTCTGCAAAAGTGTTCACCAAATGTTAGTTTGGGGTGACCTTGGCAAAATATTTTTTCCCCATGGTGCGTGGCCACCAAGTGTCCCTATTGTTTCCTGTGCTTTGCTTGCCGCCCCTGCGCCGAGTGCAACAAATACTCAGAAGGACTACACATTAGTATGCCTTGCGCGGTCTGACCAATCGAAAGTCTACACTGCATAGTATATCCGGGCTATGCAAAACTGTCGATGGCAACGCGTACTGCAGCCTGCTCCACACCCTGCAAACGAGGTTGGGTCTACGGTGCTCGCTATTTGAAGCGCAAGCATGTGACGTCGCGTGATAGAGTGCTGTTGCTTCCATAATGTGTTTACAGCTCCATGCTTCCACCTCCAAGGCTGAGCGTTGTGAGTTCGCTGCCCGCCACGTATAATTCAGTGTCGCGTTATAATTTCGGGGGCCTGTTAGTTTGGGGTCAACGAAGGGTCGATGCATTGCTTCAAATATTGCGATCTTAAACGAAGTCACAAAAAAATCAATGAAAAAGTGTCCGACCCGGCGGAAGACACCCACATTTTTCCACGGACGTGAAGTCGCGGTCTCGGATCCTTTCAGAAGCAAACATTTCTCGGAGGCCGAGTAAAACTTGCTCTTATATATAGATGGTTGAACCAACTTGAATAAAAGTTGAATCGCAGACGGTCTCGCAAATTGTAAGAAGTTCAAGTTTATACGTTTGTTGAAGAGTCCAATACTGAAACTTATTTATGACCTTCCTCCATGATTCGGACCGTTTGTAATTTTTTGGTAACACTCAACATTTTCATTTTAAATGACACCTTCACGTTTTATTGCATTATGATTTATTGTCAAACTGTACAACCAGCCTTCGCCTGTGTACTACTGTAACCTTTTCACTACGTTTTCCAAATGCGACTGCCTCACAAAAAGCCAATTTAACAGACCAACGGCAACATTTACAGACAGTTGCCATGGCACATTTTAATTATCATGTGCGTAAATCGACGGGGGACAGGGGGACCCCCCCCCCCCCACACACACACACACATTTTGAGGGGGGACATTGTTTGGTCTCCCCCCCCCCCCCCCACACACACACTTTTTCTTCCCTACAATAATGATTCTATTGCTCAGAATACATGTAGCTGATTCAATTACTCAAAACTCAAAACTTTCACAGATGATCTTTTCCTCAAATTGGTTTTAGTGATCAGAAATTGCCTCAGATCACACGACAGAAATTGCTATTCTTTAACTGCATGTCTCCCCAACTACATCCCCCATTTACATTTAACTCCCCACATTTTCATCCCCAACACTACGCCCTACCCGATCTATGATCGGGTAAACCAGCTTGTACGTATATAATTTTCAAACTCTACATGTAGTTGGTACATAAGGTGTTTCACAGTAATATACGCTATCTTGCCCGTGGGGCAATTTTACATGCGTTGCTGTGTATGCATCGTCATTGGAAAGCTTTGGCACTTCCAAGTTATCGTGCGTTCATTCTAAAATGTGCCCGCGTCTAGCAATGGATGTTCTTTTTGTCCTGTGAACAAGATGGCGAGTCCCATCCCCGAGTGATGTTTTTCCAACTTTCACTCAGGAGGTAACACACTGAGTATACAGTGTATATACGTCGGTGAAGGGCAAAACCTAATTTGATTTCATCACCCCGACGCAAAAATTCCATCTTATGATTGGTGCATATTACTGTGAAACACCTTATTGGGGACGAGAAACGTTAACAGCATATTATCAAGAATTGTAACATGTTTTATTAAGTAGGGAATTGTCAATACATCCTGTGTTATTAGTAATGTGCAGGCTCAGCACAGATTGCCACCAACTATCAGTATCAGCTACATGTACATGCACATGAAAAACTTACATGCAAGTGGTTCAAAAATACTTGAAAATGATTGTCTAGGCAAATGGATTACAAAATTGCATACTTACATGTATGTACATGTTAACTGTTACTTGAATGAGGTTTTTGTGAGCGTTTAAATGAGCAAGTTTGTTTTTAAACTTTGTCTGTGTGAAAATCTACATGAATTGGCACAAACGTCTACATTTGTACATCTACATTTTCCACTGCAGATACTTAAGAGCGTTTGAAACAGATCTTGAGGTTTTTTCAGTTGATGAAGGGTCATGATGCTCCAGGCTTTAAAATATTTTTAAGAAAAGTGCCAAGTTCCATATTCATGAGCAATACAGTGATGTCATGAGCTGGAACATCAGTGTCACTGCTGTTTGAGGACGAAAAGTTACAAAGTGTTTTGGTTGAGGTTGATGTGACTGTTTGTTCATTGTGCACGAGGCACAGGCAGTCAGTCAGATACTTGAACAACAAACTGCTACGTGTACATGTACATTTTCAATGCAATGAATTTTAGTTTCACAAGTAACACAGAAAATCACAAAGCTGTCATTGTGAAATACCTAAAGCGATATCACAGCAACAGAAGAAACAACTATTAAAGTGTACAGGCATTGTAAAAAGTGCGCTGGAAAAAAGATTACAACTTTCTACATGCAGTTTACCATTACTTTCATATTGACATGAGGCTAGGATATTTCCAGGTTTTAGTGAAATTCATCCCATTGCCTTTAAATTCTGTTATACAAAATTACAAAAAGACCCTGAGAAATCTTCAGTAAAAGTTCACCATGGAGAACATCGTGAATTCTTAATAGAGCACAAACTGTATTATCATTATCGAGACTTGAATGCATAGAGAGCAAACTCACCGCAAATCCAAATTGTCTTGGGAGGTTTTGGATCTCAATCTTGAAGATCTCTGAGGTGAAGTGCTGTTGCGTCAGATAGTGATAAGGATCCGTTATGGCAGCCCCAGTCACCGGAACGTCGGAGGAGCTGGCGCAATGGTTATCTTGTGGGTCAAGACCTGATGCACAAAAACAAACAAATTAAAAGACCAACTCCAATCAGAGAAAATAAGTTTACTTTGATTTTTTTTTAAGCATGAGATATTTGTAAGTTTAATTATGAGTTTTCAAGTGAGACACTGCACAACAAAATCAGTTCACACTGACAAACAGATCAATGAATTGCAAATTTTGAATAAGAAACATCCCAAAGTTGAATACTGTTAATATAGATGTACAACAATTGTACACAGTACCTGAAAAAAAAATAATGCTTTAAAATATGAACCTCATTGTAAAGTTAGAGATAAACCTATATATAAATATCTTAATTGGACGGTTCCCAAAAATGACCAATTTCTACAAGCTGCTGTTTTTGTGTGCGTAATTCAAAACTGCCAAGCACAAATAATGCTATGTACTATCACCATTCTGGTATTTGAACTAGTATGCTTTTCTGATACTTGATACTTCATTGATGCCTCATAATATTTTGATATATTTATTTGCCTTTTTTAATGGGCTTTGTATTAATCAACAAAAGAATGAATCAAATTAGGTTTCGCTCTGCATCGACGTATAAACACTGTATACTCAGTGTGGTAGCTCCCGAGTGAAATTTGGAAAAAAAATCACTCACGACGCAAAATTCCATCTTAAGCCGTGTCCGCACTGGACTTTTTTTTTGGAAGGTTTTACCGAGACGATGGTAAAATGAGAAATGGTCAAATGTGACCACTGTCCGCACTTGGACTTTCGACACAGGAAATTTTACCCAGACCGTGTGGGAGAAGTGACTGAGCTGTCACAGTCCCGTGCACAGGAAATAAAATACTGATCACATTTTTTTTCAGCCCCCGATACGCACAGTATAATATTACACACACCATTAAAATGCACAATATAATCGTAACATACGATGTTATTTCATCTTGACACGATAAATCTTGATGAAAATGCCTACTATTCTGACGCATTTGTGATGGACGACATCGAAGCCATGCAGCAGCAGTTCCATCGGTAATCACTGGTTCCCACCGCATGCTAACAGAATCAAAGCTATGATGTAGGACCGGAACCAGGGACTGCGGCCTACGTACGGTGCCATGCAGACTACACGGCGTAACAGGACGTATTTGGATCGTAGAAAATACAAAACAAACATTGGTGGAGAAAACGAATAACTGCAAAGTACCCTATTTCCCAGAACGTGATCTTAATATTTTCTGTGAATGTATTCTCCGTTAAAATATATTTATAACGAGATTTTACAGCTCGGACTTGACACCCGCAGCGTACGTGTTTCCACAAAATGTTCGGCCACATCACGTGTGGGATCGTGCATGATGGTCTCTGTATGCATGATACTCGCACTCGGGCCGGATGTCACTTTCCTCAGCTGCTTTTACCGACTCGCACTGTCCGCACTGGACTTATCGTCTCGGGAAAAGTGACCTGGTTAATTTTCCTGGGCACGTGGTCAGTTTTCTTGGGCAGCAGTTGGCCAGTAAAAGTAACCGCTGGACTCAGCAAAAGTAACTGAGAGGAAAATGTCCCAGGCTGTCCGCACTGGACTTAAAATGGGAAACGTACCCATAATCTCGGTAAGTTTGACCAAAAAAGTCCAGTGCGGACAGGGCTTTATAAAAGAATGAATGTTTTAAGATATGAATGGCTTTGTAAACTTTGCATTCATTCATCAGAAATTCACAAGTTTGACAGTTGAACAAAGGTTCAAGGACAGAGGAAACGACAGACGTGGCGGAGGTGTCTTTATCTTGGTTAAGGATGGTTTCTCAGCAATTGAACTTTCTGAAGATGGTTGTGAATTACTCTGGTGCCAACTACTGCTCAAGCCGAAAGGAGAGGACATCTTCATCTCTGCATACATGTATTATAGAGCCCCCGACTCCTACAGGCCAGAATCTCTAGAAAACCTAGACAGAAGTCTGAGTAAATTGCAGGCTCAGGTAAACTCCCCATTCATCATTCTTGGAGGAGACTTCAACATCCCGGGCATGCTTGGAACTCAAGGACTGGTACATTTACTTTATCGGCAAACGGTATTCGATCCAAAATTATCAACATCGCAGATGACTACAATCTCGAACAAAAGGCAAATTTTACTACAAGGAGAGACCCAGTTACAGGAACAGATAACATCTTAGTTTTGGTCTTTACCACACGTCCAACTCTGGTTTGTAATGTATACAGCAACTCCGGAATTAGCGATCACGCAACAGTGTTAGCTGACATAAACATCACCGCACCAAATTCAAATTGATATGTCAGGCTCGTACGCGACCAGACGTGTTCTATTTTGCTCTCCAAAATCTACAAGTAAATTGAGATAAAAGCAAGTTACCATCGTGAAAACAGTTGCAATACTAAAAGTCATCACAGTAAGTCATCCGGATCAGAAAAAATTACCCAAAAAAACCCTGTGTTTCGTTAGAAACAAGACAAAAACCCAACAGCAAAATCAGCGTACTTCAATGGCGACATACGCTACAGTTACGAGCACGGGGGGTGGCACCCCTAACACCACTCGACCAGTGTTCTTCCAACAGAAATCATTGACGCAGGCGGAAGGGTCCAGTAAATTAGACACCTACAAAATCTGTATGGCCACAGAAAAAGTATCAGGCTACAACACCCTGAAAGGAGCACAGCTCATTAGGGGATTATGGCGCATCTACCCCACCAATAAGGAGGCCAGAATTACCCTACTAACAACCAGTATCTCCCTTCGACAGCAACATATACGACTCCAATACAACAACCCCTACCTGTCAGAAGATGATCAGTCTACCAAGGTCATCGTATCCGATCTACCCCTATCAGTCTCCAATGAAGATATTGCACCCGAATTGGAACAAAATGGAGCCAAGCTTCTGTGCCCCGCCGGAGGGGGGGGGGGGGCCAAAAATCAATTCCGTTCAAAAAAACATTGCATTAGAAAAAACAAAGATTGTGATGTACATGCGAACAGTCTACCCCTAAAGAAATAGTCGTGAAAAGGGTGCATTAGTTAATATAGTGTGAATGATTTTAGGATTTTATTGGCGCTCCCAATTGAAAATATTGCATGAGCCCCCCCCCCCCCCCCGCCCCCTACCTATTGATTTACGGAGGTCTAAGTGTCAGAAAAATAAATGGTCTACATTTCAGCACGCCTCCCTGAAAAAATTCTGGATCTACCGTGCTACCCCCCCCCCCCCCCCCCCCCCCAAATATTGGTTCTAGAACCGCGCCTGTGGTTGACATATCACCGAACACAGCTGATGCAATCCGGGTCATTGAATCGGCATTTCAAAGTCACATAGAGCGACAACCACTTACAGCTCATCCAGCCGAGACCACCAACACTCCCAAACGACCTCGACCAAGCCCCACAACCCCGATCGAGAAAACAGACGACGGAACAAGACAAACGAGACGCAGGAAACGCAGGAAGCGTCACAGCAAGCAGCAAACAGCGACACACCAAGACATCCAAAAGAAACAAGCTACAGCAACATATGACACCGACGAAGAGGAGTTCATCAGGTACAAAACGAGCTGAATCTTCTCAACAACCAAAAATATAAAATAAACAAGTAATGAAGTAAATAAATAAACCAATTATGATTAAATCGATGAAATAATGAAAATCTAATCAAAGCTCCTAATTGTTTGGCACAGCTTCTCTCCACATCATTAGTTTGAATGTTCGAGGTTTGAGGGATAGAGGCAAACGCCTGGCAACATATAAATGGTTCCAGGATCAAAAAGCCGACATCCTATTTATACAAGAAACACACTTCACAGAAGATACAGCAAATACTCATGATATATACGACTGGCAAAATGGGAAAAGCTATCACTCATATGGCGACTCTTATAGTCGAGGTACCAGTATTTTAATTAGAGATTCAGCTAACATTGAGGTAAAAGATTCACATTGTGATTCGTTTGGAAGAATATGTTTAATTAATGCAATCCATGAAAATGCATCTCATTTATGAATATTTATGCCCCCAACACTTGCAAGGAAAGAGTTCAGTTCTTAAAAAAATTGGAGAAGTGGATTTTTAAATACATCCCCAATACCAATGAGTTAATTTTAGGAGGTGATTTTAATTGCATACTTAACCACAGATGTGATAAAGAGGGAGGGATTAAATTACGAAAACAGAATACAATTTCACTGATAGATGTGTGTAAAAAGAAACCTTTAACAGGTATATGGAGAAATCAACATCCAGATACTTACCAGAACTTTTAGAATAAAGAATCCCAGTATAAAAACACGGATTGATTACTTTCTTATTTCAACCTATCTCTGTTGATGCAGTTACTTCGAGCGACATACATACATAAGACCAAGTATTAAAACCGATCACCAAGCGATTTCAGTCAAATTAGCTAGCAGCAAAGCTCGACAAGGGCCAGGCTATTGGAAATTCAACAGTTCCCTTCTTAACAATAAACCTTTGTAGATAAAATGAAGTCATATTTGCATGAGTTCATGAATAACTTAGTAACGGAATTTGAAGATCAAAGATTCTGCTGGGAAATATTGTAAATTAAAACTTAAAGAGTATGCCATATAGCCTATTATTCAAAAAAGAAGAAAAGGGTGGAAGATACAGTGAAAGAATTATTAATAACAAAGCTGAAAAACATGAATGACCGTGAAGAAGAATCAGAAGAGCAAAACAAACTTCAAACAACTTTAGAGATAATGTACGAGAAAGAAATAGCAGGACAAATGGTTCGGTCTCGAGAACAGTGGTACGAAGAGGGTGAACGAAACAGGAAATACTTTTTGGGACTTAAAAAAGCGTAACGCATTGACAAAAACTATTACAGAATTGAAGAATGAAAATAATAAAATAATCAGAGATGAAGTTGGCATACTCAATGAACAAAAAAAATTCTACCAAAGTCTGTACTCTTCAAACAGTGTAGAAATAAATGAAGTAAACCAATACTTAGATGATACTCAGTTTGATTTTGTGTTAAACGAAGAACAGAAAGAGGAATGTGAAGAGGTTATTACCGAAGCAGAATATGAGAAAGCACTACAAAGTTTGAAAAAGAACAAAAGTCCCGGAACAGACGGTTTAACAGTAGAATTTTACCTTGCATTCTGGAAGCAACTAAAAAACCTCTTTGTGAATTCAATGAATAGAAGTTACCAAGAAGGGGAACTTCCGATATCCCAACGCCGTGCTATAATATCATTACTGTATAAAAAAGGTGAGCGAAACAATTAAAAAAATTGGAAACCAATCAGCCTTCTAAACATTGACTACAAAATAGCTGCCAAAGCATTAGCAAATCGACTGTCAGGCGTAATTGGAGATATCATTCAAGATGACCAGTCAGGCTACATCAAAGGATGATTTATCGGAAATTGTGTCCAAAGGTTTAATAATCGATAATGTTATTCATTTTAGCCAAGAGGGTACATGTACATGTAATAAAAATACTGCAATTCTCTTTTTAGATTACGAAAAGGCTCTTGACACTGTAGAATGGAGCTTCCTGATAAAAACACTAAAAAAGTTTAATTTTGGAGATAGCTTTATCAGTTGGATTTATAAGAACAATGTATAAAAACATTCAAAGTACAATTATGTCTGAATTTTTCACATTGAAACGTGGGCTTAGACAAGGTTGCTCTCTCTCAGCCTCGTTGTTCCTAATCGTAGCAGAAGTTCTCGCAAACAGAATAAGAACAAACCATGAAATACACGGGGTACAATTACCAAACAAAACAAACCTTCCTATCTCTATCTACGCAGATGATACCACTCTTTTTATGTCAGACGCTAAATCAATCAACAATGCTCTTGACGTTGTTAAAGAATTTGGAAGAATAGCAGGTCCAAAACTGAACCATCAAAAAACAACAGGACTTGTTATTTGCGATAATAATCTGGACCAGAATCTCCAAGAAACAATCAATTGGCAGCAAAGACCAATCAAAACACTAAGCGTTTACTTTGGAAAGAACATGTATGAATGCTATGAATTAATCTGGGAAGAAAAAATAACTAATTGTGCAAATTTAATCAACCAGTGGAAAAGACGCAACCCGACACTACCAGGTAAAGTAACCATTGTAAACAACTTGGCAATACCAATATTTACCTTTCTAGCATCAGTTATTCCAACCCCACAAAAACAAATTACAAAAATAGAAAATCTGATTTTTCCTTTCATCTGGCAAAGGAAAATAGATAAGATTTCAAGAAAAACTTTGATTCGTGGTTTAGATGAAGGAGGTCTAAATCTAATTGACTTTGAATCACACCATGCAGCGCTAAAATGCAACTGGATCATTATTAAACTGATTAACAAGAAAGCTGGTAAATGGACAAGCTTATGTGACTACTTCCTTAATCTATGTTGCCCTGATTTAGCTGTCCTAAATATGAACCTTAAAAATGCAAAACGTTTTTCAAATCTTCCAGGTAAATTACCACAATTTTACAAAGAGATAATACTCTGCTGGCAGAAACTGAACAAACAAAAGAAAATGCAAGCAGATTTATCCCGAACTGAGATAAAGACACAAATACTTTGGGGTATTCAACACATAAAGTATAACGACAAACCTCTGTTCTTCAGAAATTGGATCAAATCCAATATCATTTATGTAATGACATTTTGAATGAAAAGGGCAAACTCTCCATCAGGTATGTGAGTCGTAACCTAATTAGCAAACAGAACTGGCTAGTTGAAATGTATATACTAAAGAAGGCCCTACCCAAAGAATGGTTAACAAAACTCTTAAATAACGATAACATTCTAACTGAAAGGCATGTTCATATCAGTGAAAAACTTGGTAAGTTGGAAAATATAAACACAAAAAAAAGTAGAAGATTTTACTTGAGTATAAAAGTAAAACACCTGTCGCACAAGAGCGTTGGAACGAAATATTGCAGACTGAAGGACTCAATTGGAATTCAGTGTGGAAACAAAAAGTTATGAATGTAAAAGAAGCCAAATTAAGGAATTTTAACTTCAAGTTAATACACTGCCTTGTGCCAACCAAATACTTACTGTATAAATGGAAAATCAAAGATAGCCCACTATGCAGCCTGTGTAATACCGTAGATGATTATGAACACGTATTTATTTCTTATGCATACACAGTTAAATTTTGGAATCAATTTATTAAGTATTATCAATCAGTAACAAAGCATTGTTATAACTTTCCATCAATGTCAGATTTAGTACTAAACCCGGACTTTGACCTTGAAACAAATTTGATTACTACAATAGCAATGTATTCTATATTAAAGGTTAGACTGAAAGCATACCAGAACAATACGTGGAATAGCACTTTTTACATTTTTTTGATGGAATGTACAAAAATGTAAGTGCCCCTTTCTTAAAGCTATTAGATCATATTTAATTTAGAATAATACAGGTGTGTATTTTGTTGTAATGTAAAGCGGAATAATAAAAAATATAAAAAATAATAAAAAACCATCACCGCACCTTGCTCTGTCAAGCCCCCTAGGACCATCTTCAAGTGGAATGACGTGGATGAATCCAAGCTGAAAAAATCTGTCCTCGAGCTTAAGACCCAATTCATGCCGTCATCTCCAGAAACCAGAACAGTTGAGGCAAATCAGAGTATTTTTAAGGACAGGCTGAAAACTAACGAATTAGTACCACAAAAACCAGTCCAGGGACATTCTAGACCCTCATGGCTCACTACCCTCCTAATCCTTTGCTGCAGGAAGAAAGAGCGCAGCTATGTGAAGGCAGTAACAAGCAGTCTACATTCAAACTTTTGCAAAAGCAAGTGAACAGCGAAATCAGAAGGGCTTCACGCACACATTTACAAGAAACTACATCTACAGGTACAGGTAATCCCCAGAAATGTTGGCACTACGTAAATAGCACTCGTAAAGACAACACAGGGGTTCAGGTTCTAAAACTCAACGGGAAAAATATCACATCTGACCAAGAAAAAGCTGAAACCCTACAAGACCAATTCTGTAGTGTTTTCAGCAGGGATGACACCGATGTGCAGCCAGTTCTACCACCGAGTCCCTACCCAGACTTGACAAACATCACCGTGTCTGTTAGTGGAGTCCTCAAGTCAACTTGAAACTAGCTGCCAAGGAAGTTGCCCCAGTACTCGCATTCATATTCCAACAATCACTTGACCTGGGTTCTCTTCCATCTGACTGGAAGAAAGCCAACGTAACACCCATTTTTAAGAAAGGCTCCCGTGAAGACCCGGCAAACTACAGACCTGTGTTGTTGACCTCTGTTTGTTTTAAGTTATTAGAGCACATCATTGATAGCCAATAAATGAAACACTTCCAGGAACACGACATCCTGAACGAAAACCGACATGCTTTTCGTAAAGGCCTGTCCTGCAAATCCCAACTCGTAACAAATCACCACAGACATGGCAGTACTTGACTTCTCCAAAGCATTCAAAATAGTTTCTCATCAAAAACTGGTCCAAACATTAGACTACTACGGGATAAGGGGAAAAACACAGAGATGGATCAGGGAATTCCACCAACAGGTCACAAAGAGTTGTGGTAAATGGAAAGTCTTTGAAATGGCAAAGTGTCGACAGTGGCATACCACAAGGCACCGTGCTTGGCCCCCACCTGTTTTTACTTTTCATCAACAACATAAGCAAATCGGTGACTGGCACAACTCGCATTTTCGCTGACGACTGCCTGTTATATCGGAAGATCTGCTCATCAACTGATGAATTGATGTTCCAAAAAGACCTGGACAACTTGGCTCACTGGGCGCAAACCTGGGGAATGAAATTTAACTCCAGCAAATGTAACATCATGCGAATCTCCGGGAAGCGGGCCCCCGGCAAAACTAACGACACCATGTTAGGATCCAACCTCGTAGAGAAAACCAACATGACATATTTTGGAATAATCATTCAGAATAACCTAAGTTGGAATCACCAAACAGCACATGCCACTTCCAAAGCAAGTCGTATATTGAACTTCATCAAAATAAATTTTCATTCTGCATCCAGATCAGTCAAAGAAAAGCTGTACTTAGCACTAGTCAGACCACACCTAGAATATGGCAGCATTGCTTGGAACCCTCACATAGCTAAGAACATAACAGCCCTGGAAAAAGTGCAACTGAGGGCTGCTCGTTTCGTAATGCGAGATTATTCCAGACTGAGCAGTGTGACCGACATGTTGACAACCCTAGGCTGGTCTTCACTGGAAGAGAGAAGGAAAGTTAACCAACTTACCTACTTACCTACTAAAATAATACACAACATAGTTCACATTAACCCATCATCCATAGTCCCCAAACCAGCACCGGCTCGTAGACTTCACAACCACCAGTTCACAGAAATTGCTGCAAGGACAGACATCTATATGCAGTCATTCCTACCCCGAACTATCCGGAAATGGAACAAGCTCCCTCAAGACACCACAGACGCCCCAAACCACAACACCTTTAAGGATTTAATTTAGCTCCACTTCCCCAAGGCCTCCTTGCTAGACTTCCACGTGGAGTATTCAGGATAACCACCAAGTACCAAGTACCAAGTAAAGGTGCAATTTTTTTTTATGAAATTGAACCCTCATTCCCCCCAATTTAAAAAACTTACCTGGAAAGCAACTAAACTATTTTGCAGCAAAATTAATTTCACTGGGTTAAAGTGTTAAGTTTCCAATAAGCAAGAATGGACAAAATCACATGAATGGGATTACACTTAGATGACCTGGCAAAGGAGCAAACGTCTTCACCAAGTAAAAGAATAACAAGTCACCTTTGGATTTGTCCTCCTCATCTTCATTGGGAATAGCATCCAAAGTGATGGCCACATCTGTTGGCATCTTGACAACATCACCCTCTGTAACTGTGGTTGACGTTACCTCCCCAGTTGGGACATCATCAGAAGTTGGTCCCTGCTTCTCATCCATTTTGGTGTTATTACGTTGGACCAAAAACACACTGGAAATATAAAGCAACTGCACATTAAGCAGTTGTATACTATTGAAAGCCATGACCAGTGGGATATCTAGGGGGAGGGGTCGAAATTTGAAATCACAACGTGCACCTGAAAATAGTATGGTAACCATACCGTGTACATGTCTCTATCCAGTGCGATGTATATGTGGATACCATACCAGTTTCAGATGCGAGCTGTAAATGTCGCCACAACACGGCTGCGACGCGACGGTTCTATCTGAAAAGCCACCAAAATCATCATTGTTTCCCCATATTTTAGCCAGTGTAGTTCTGTTTCAAGTCGATCCTTTGCTTTGTGATGACTGCTGCATGGTATTTAGGTGAGTTTAATCTCAACTAGGTTTGGATAATCAGGTTAAAGGACAATTTCAGTTGAGGCAATTTTTCATGGCCTCCGTCATTTTCTGACTGCTGGGGAAAAAATAGTTGGGGAAGAATTCCATACATATTGCATCGACATGACTAATATTTCCCCACAGTGACCTATCAGCCATCAGAAAGGGATAACAAGTTTAAAAGTCAAATTTTGCAGGAAAAATATTGAAGTTTTTACTGAGAATACACTTCAAATTTATCAGACTAGTCTCATAGGGTTTGTGCACCGGGTGTCAAGTGATGTCCAGGTATGGAACTCTTTCCAATAGTTGGTCCCCCAGAGCTTGAGAAACGCTAGTCCAAAAATTTGGAACTCTCAATACTGTCTATGACAGTCCCAAAAATTAAGGTTTTGAAAACTTGCCATACAAGATGGAGATGAGAAACTCCAATGCTCATCACGAATTAGACATGTAGAGCTGGAGGCACATCTAGTTTTTGTCCAGCAGTTGGAAAATGGCGGAGGCTGTGAAATTTGGCCTACACTAAACTTTTTCCCCTATTATCCAAACCCAGATGAGATTAAACTTACTTCACGCCATGCAGCAATCATTTACGAAACAAATGGTGGACTTGAAACAGAACAATGCTTAGTACTAGCTTGAGTAACTCCAGCTCCAATGCTCATCAGGAATTCGACATAGAGCTGCATGGAGCTAAAAGTATGTTGTAGATTCTAAGATGCCCTGAAAAACAGGGCTCTCTGTATCTGTATCACAATCTGGGTTGGGATTAATAGAGGGGAAAAGGACCATATTGTGATACAGACCTATACAGAGAGTCCCGTTTTTAGGGCCTCTAAGAATCTAGTATCAATTTCAAACACATAAATTTCCTCTTCATGACAGAAATGAAAAATAATATTTATAGTATTAAAATATAAAGGTCTCTTGAGGTGGCAAAACCTTGAAAGCATAAGATTTCCATGTTCCCGTATATTCCTGTGCCTGTGCACAACACAGTTTTAGCGCTATATGTTGAATTCCTGATGAGCATTGGAGCTGGAGTTACTCAAACTAGCTTTATTAAACTAAAATATGAAAAAAAAACATGATTCAATGGCTTTTCCGAGGCCATTTTTTACAGCCTCTGCCATATTTTGGTTGCTGGACAAAAGCCAGATGTGTGCCTCCAGCTGTAGTCCGATTAACTTGAACCCAACTTATCGCCCTTTTAACATTCAGACATGGTCTGGTGACCTACTTGCCAGACCATGTCTGAATGTTGAAAAAGCGATAAGTTACTTGGACTACCACCAGCTCATATAATGTTGAATTCCCGATGAGCATTGGAGCTGGGGTTGGAAAGATTCCCGTATCTGGCCATCACTTTTCACCCTGAGCACAAACCGTATGAGACTGGTCTGAAAATTTCTGTGTTTTCTCAATTTCAAAAACAGGCCTACTTCAACATTTCCCTGCTAAATCTGACTTTTTAGGACACAGGCCTATTATCACTTTCTGATGGCTGATAGGTAACTGAAGGGAAAAATTAGGGCAATGGTGTAGTGTAGGGCCCCTGTTTTGTTTTTATCAAATTAGAATCAAGAATGTTTTTTATTTCTAAAAAATGATATTGTCAACTTTTAAAACAGACTTCTCTCAATGTTTTGACACATTTTTGGCAATTTTTGAAAAGTTACTTGGGGTAGAAATTACGATTGTCCTACGTGGTTTACAGGCCAGTTGGTGTCGTGCAGCGCGACTTGTGTGCTCATGGTACACATGGTCCATCGCGCAGTGATCGCCATCTTTATTTTCGTGTTGCGTTTTGTCGTTGTCGTCGTCATTTTACCCCCAAATTTTCTTCATATATTAAAAACACTGCCCTATATCTATGACACACCTATATGGGGAATCCTTACATTTAGGAACCCTTACATTTAGGAACCATTCCTATATTTGAAAGACTCATCAAAACAGCCGACTAAATGACACTAAAAAGTGACATTCTGATATTTCTTGACACATCTGAACAGGTGGTAATGACACCTTCTTTATTATCAAAACTTTAATTTTGTGGAAAGAGGGCAGGGCTTTGATTTACGAGGGAAATTAAGGGGTAGAACTAAAAGATGACGACAACCAGAAAACAGACTCAAAAACCAAGATGGCAAATGTGAAAGCTAGATGCAATGTAAAAGCTCACTGCTGATTGGCTGATAAAAAAAAATATTTTACTTATTTTTTTTAGCAGCCAATCAGCATTGGGCTTTCATTGTGTTGGGCTATCACTCGTGTTGTGAGAAATACAATGGGCACATCTCACGTTTTACTCCTAGAACTATGAGGCTCCACGAGGCTCCACGTAGATGAAGAACCCCGCAAAATTGTTTGCAGCACAAAACACTAATTAAGTACAAAAACGTCCATCAAAATGCAGACATTTCCCACAGAACCACTGCACAGTTTGCCCCTAAACTCCGTACTACACCTCATGACATACTCACGTAATATGCACAGAACAAACATCGCTGGATTTTGTCGGTTTTTTGGCTAAAATGATGAAAAATATGCCCTCTCCGCATTGAGCCAACCTGACACTTGAAACGTGCACGCATATGAATGATCCAGCAATGATTTTTTGGTTCTCTCAGAGTGCGCCGCGGGGGGTACAGTACTTGCATTTGTACGCATGCGCATACTATCATTTCTTTTGCAACTGAAAATCATCGCTGGATCATATGCGTGCACGTTTCAAGTGTCAGGTTGGCTTAGTGCAGAAAGGGCATATTTTGCATCATTTAAGCCCAAAAAACAACAAAATCCAGCGATGTTTGTTCTGCGCATATTACGTGAGTATGTCATGAGGTATAGTGCGGAGTTAAGGGGCAAACTGTGCAGCGGTTCTGTGGGAAATGTCTGCATTTTGATGGACGTTTTTGTACTTAATTAGTGCCTAGGAGTACTCACGTCTGACTGCAAAAAACGGTAGGAAAGTCTGTTGGCGCATGACGTCGCGCGGAAGCGTAACACCCGATGACGGTTGCGGTTCCAGTACCGCAGCTGTGATGCGAGTGGTAAACTTCATATGAGTGCATGAAACAGTCATCGGGTGTTACGCTTCCGCGCGACGTCATGCGCCAACAGCCAACCGCCAGCCGGCAAAAACGACTAGTTGACAGCCTGGTACCGGTAACCGACCGCCATTCATTGTACACAAATTTTTTTTGTGCACAAACCAATTACGGTCCTGGCCATGCCCGTAAGCTTGTCAGGTTAGCGGTTATTCCTCCTGTTTTCACTGCAATTGTAGGCTGAATCTTCATCGTGGATCGTTTTTTACTTCAAGGACCTGTTTAATGGTTATTCCAGGCAAGTTTAGGGTGAGTTGCAGTTGCAATTAGTGTGTAACGGGGACAAAATTGAACATTTTCCAAAATGTTTTGCCTATACTATCGTTTACGAGAAAAACTAGCTCCAGCCCTTATAGACAACCCAATGATAAAACTCAGGGCTGGGTAACTCCAGCTACATTACACCTAAGCATCCCAGAAGTGATAGATGGGACATCGTAGAATACAACCACATGTAAGAAATTCCCTGCAAATTTTATGAAAACGTCCTCAGTAGTGCGCGGACCACGGTGTGTGGCCTTAGGTTCAGCGCAGCATACCGACGGCCACACTAGTGGGGCTAAAAGTCTATGGGCCATGACAGAACACGTATTATCAAAGAATGTTTGCTCTCCTTAAAACAGTGTTTCTTCATCAGATTTACAACTTTTGGCAATGTTTGGTACTGTTCAGGTCATATTAAGGAATATGAGTGGTACCCCAGTATGGACTTTTTTCCAGCATCTCAAACTCTTCACGAACACACATGACGAATTAGATACAATGATACAACGCTATTATCAATAATAGCGTTGTAAACGCAGTGCCAGTGTGTCTACGGACTACGGGAGTGCGGCCATGACGGCTACTTCTGCGCGACGTTTCACTAAATAAAATAATGAAGATTTCACCAATAGCTATTAAAACAACCAAATTAATGTTACCTTTAATTAAAACAAACTTGTAGTACTGATACTGACGTAATATTAATAAGAAAGTTTTCAGCCACTCGGAAGAATACGGGTAGCGCCAGATTTTCAAGCATGTGTCAAGAGTCGCGTGTTTATGTTGTTGAATGCTGCCCTCATGTGTCCCTCACATGCAAGCTGTTTCGAAACCTCGGCCTTCGTCGCAGCTTCGCAGCTTCGCAGCTTCATCATTGAACTGGCATCCTTCTTTTTTTAACGAGATGCCTGCGTCTCCCGTAACGGAAGCCCAATAATACCTATTTGTCTCTTCTTATTTGACACCCCACGCTTTCTGAGTAGCTGTGTGGAAATTACATAATTATTCTTCTTCAAATTGGTTTAATAGAACAAGCCGCATGGGAATAAATCGAATTTTGGAAAACCCTTTTAAAACCCACATTTTTCTTTTTTTCCTGGAGGGCGCTGTTTACACTGAACGTTAGTTTTTCCCCTTGACATTTCCCCCTAGAATTTATTTATGTGATTATTCAAGGCAAAGGAGTTGTTGAATATGGCTATTCATGTGGTAGGTACCCAAGATATTCTGGAAAATTATTTATATTTTTAAGTTGGACACCTCTTGCTCTCCGTATGACTTTTTTTAAACAAAAAGCAAAATGTGAAATCGCCCTAGCTGGAGTTACCCAGCCCTGAGTTTTATCATTGGGTTGTCATCTAGGCCCAATGATAAAACTCAGGGCTGGGTAACTCCAGCTAAAATCGCCCAGTTTCCGGACACTTCACAATATTGAATGGCTGCTGCTCGCTATCCCCATGGCGGTAATCCTTACTTTTAGGACCCCGTTCCTATATAGGAAGGGAAAGACTCACCAAAACAGTTGACTAAATGACACTCAAAATTGACATTCTGATACTTCTTGGCACATCTGAACAATGGGCAATGACACCTTCTTGACTTCTAAAGACTGCTTTAGCCTGCAAAAGTCACTTTGGTACTGGACAGACATCTGCAAAAGTCAGTTTTGAACAGAACTCGTAAAAAATAGAGGTGTTCTAAAAGTAAGGATTACCCCTATGGCTAGTGCCACTGCTAGTAGTAGGACTTTTTTGGAAAGATTCCCATATCTGGCCATCAATAATGTTTTCCTTCAGCGACCTATCAGCCATCAGAAAGTATGTCAAATTTAGCAGGGAATTTATTGGGGTATTTACTGAGAAAACACTTAGAAATTTTCAGACCAGTCTCATTGTGCACAGGATGACAAGTGATGGCCAGATGTGGGAATCTTTCCAAAAAGAATATGCTTAGGGTCCTGCTTTTTGAAAAAAAAGGAAGCGGGAGACCCTTCTTTTTTTTTTCCTCCCCAATGGTCGCCCGACCGGGCTATTTTTCATCAAGATGGCTGCCATTTTTTTTTTTAAATGGCCGCCATTGGACTCAGCAAATTACATACCAGCTTTTTATTGAAATGTGTTTAAAGCTCCATGATGCAACAGATACAATGTAAGAGGCCAAACTAATGTCACTATTGAAAACTTTTTTAAAAAAATGGTTTAAAAAAAAAAAACCTAAGAAGGCAGCCTCCATAAAGGAAGCAGGCGGGGACGCTAGACATGTTTTTTTTTTTATTTGGCCTAATTTGTTTCCCCCTCTCCACTTTGAAAACTTCTGTGAAGATTTAATTGGTGTTACCGTTTCATACATTTACATTTTTTTTTTTACATCATACATGTAAACTTGACGGTTGTCTCATTTTTTTTTGCAACTGTAGGCGCATCCATCAGTGCAAATGAAAGGCGCTGAGGCAGACTGGACACCCATACAATGCACAGACAGGGAGTGTAGCCACTCCTTGATGAAGGCTCCGCATCTGCACTGTCCATTCTGCTCCCAGGACAGTCTATTCACTGATGAGATTCTCCTCAAGGCGCACTACAGGGTCAAGCACGTGGATAAAGGCATCAACTTTGGGGGTGAGTTTGCATTTGGGAACAAGACCAAGTGCTTGCATACTTGTAACTGGATCCCAAGAAATAAGTTTTAGGTTAAGGACAATGTTTTCACTTTCTGTTCATGAGTCATGCTACAAGATGACTTGTGGTCCGTGTTTGTGAAAAGGTTTGTGAGTTGAATTAAGATAAGTTGAAGGTAGTGGACAGCAGGACAAGGTAGTGGCATTTGTGGGAGTTTTATGAAATTGACAGATACCTGGGCTGGTTATTCTTAGCAGATATCAGTGTTCGATGAACTCAATTGTCACAGGCCATGCCCAAATGCCTGCCTGAACAAGAGTCCTAACTCAGGTCAATAGCTTACTTGTGCCTGTTACAGCAAGAGAACCATATAAAAAGATCCACAGTTCATGTTTTGTCAAAGTGCATATAGCTGTCAGCTTTTGTCAAATTTGCCAAACCAATCCTCTACTGTATCCCTCCCCAGGTCTTAAAATATTGCAGTGATGTAGATCCTGCATCGTCCACGGCATCATTCACGAGCAGAAATACTTCAAGGGTGCCCACTCGCACTGCTACCACTGTCACAACGGGTTCAGCAGGAGGGACAAGGCTATGAAACACTACCAGCAACACTTCCGTAATCCAGAGACCACAATACAGATAGTTATTACTCGGGTACAGTATGTCATGGTCAATTTTACAATCATGTAATTCATTTTATCCCAGTGGGCACATCAGACTGCACGTACAATACATGTAAACCACAATTCATAAATACCTATGGCAGTTTATCCATTCCTGTTGGTCGAGAAGCTGCTATGTGGCTGGTCTTAAACGGATGATAAAGACATGGCTGGCTGGTCTTCAACTCTTTTCCAGTCTCACTTGAAATTTTGGCTCCTATGAAATCCAGTGCCTCTTTCCATTTTATTGGTCCTCACGTAGGCATGCGCAATGCTACCAGTGAGTCAGTATTTTATAGTCCTAAATTCACAACGCAACGCCCCAGGTGCGTTTTGCATGACATCGCGCAGTATGTGCGACGCGTGTGCCTATCTCCAAAAAAGGAGATGTTAACATCTTACTCGCGAGCTGGACACTCCATTATTTAGCTAAAGAGGGGTGTTAAAAAAACATGAAGTGAACTTGTTGAGCAAAATCAGGTTTTTTTACCAAAAGGTTTGGATTTTTTTGACTGAATAGGTATTTATGAATGGGAATAAATATGTGCTTGGTCGGTATTTAAGTTTAAGACCGCTTGGAGTCTGGGTCCTGATAAATACCATCGCCTTCGACTCCAAGCGGTTTTAAACAGAGTGATTAAGACCTTCCAAGCATACTTTTATTCCCTTTAAACTGCATCAACAGTGATAAGCTATTAAACATTGGCACAGGTGGGTAAACTACCATGGTTCACTCAGAAAATGTTGTAAATTCCTGATGCTTGTATTCCGGAGCTCATTGGACTTATTTATAGCTTTAAAGACTCTCTGAAATAAATTTCCTAATCAAACATTTGACTCAAGTATTTATTCTTTTGAGAATGATTAGAGACACCTTTTTGGCTCAAACTGTTTGAAAATGCACTTATTTTTTTAACCTTCGCAGTTTCAGTGCTGTTTCAAGACAACTGAGTGTGCCGTTGCTGTAATGTAATGGTCCCCTTTAATCTGCATGAAAAAAAACCCAAAACAATGAAATAAATTTAATCAGTTGAAATTGATGTACCTTGTGAGCAGGTATGGTGGTTTACAAGGATTTTGGTGGATTTTATCAAATGCCAACACTTAGGGTCTTTCAAAATAATTAAGTTTGAACTTTAATTTTTCCTTGTACATTTGCGGTGTAAATTGAATCTTTTGCAACCCTGCAGGTTTTGTCTCATTGAATCATCCTCAACCACTTCACTCCACCATTTTACCCAGTATGTCAACTAGATCTTCACTACATACACTGACCCAGCACCCAACAGTGCCAGCCTGGTAACACACCTCATAGTCCCCCAGTCACAGCAGCCATCGGAGACGGACACATCATCCCCGGGGCTATGAGCAGACTGATGGGCAGCAGCCGCAAATCGAGTACCAGTATGCCTGCATCAATGATCCGAGCCAGAGCACTGCCAATGGGGAAGGTAAGATGGTAAGAATATTAACCCTGACCCTCCAAGAATCCTTCAGCATCTACCCAGAGGTTAAGGTGGATAATGCCACCAGCAGTGAAGGATAATTAGAAGAAGCTGACCAAAAAGCCAAGGGGGAGGCATTTGATACAAGGAAGCACTCTTCCCCCCCCCAACCCATCCCCCCCCCCACTTTGTTTTCAACTGATATATCGTGAATTCATATGAAAGAAGGGAATGGGTAGACAACAGCATGTTTAATATAGTTGTCTTCACTCCTGCACTTGTTTAAAAAATAAATAAAACAACCACCAAAAATTCAGCATTTTTTTAAGGGGTTGTGGTGGGTGAGGGCCAATATTGCCAGTGGATTTTACAAATTGGAATTTAAAGGTGCAAAGAGTGTGCCACTGGTGTTATTTTAAGTTGATTGAATTTTGGAAGACTCGAAGGTTTTAAGCAAAAAAAAAATATAATAAGTCAGGGTGGCAATACATTTTGAAAGCTGACTTCAACAGTTAATTAAATATTGGAATTTGTTAGGAATAAGGTTTGAAAAAGTGAGTGATTGCTTGCACCCAGTTACAAGGAATTACATGTTCTTGACACACTGCATCATTGGGGACTTTCTTGCCTGTATCCTGTTTTTACCGCTACATATTATCTGTTCCATTCAAGCGCAACATATATGTCGACCTTTCTACTCAATAAACTCCTCCCATCATTTCCCCTCTTTGTGTAGCCCACACCTGGAGTGACCTTTTGATGACCGACTTTCATTATTACAGGAATCATTATCCAGGATAATTGCTTAACCTTTCCCTCTCGTAAACAGCTGTCCTTATTGAGATACCAGACGTAGGAAGCCAAGAGGATTTGGAGGACGAGACTTGCTACACAGAGCACAACTTGTCGCTGCTGCTGCAGGAGAAGGAAAGTCTGGAGAAGACTCTTGAGGAGGAGCAGACCACGTTGGCCCAGACAGAGCACAGGATGAAAGGCACTATAGAAAGGCTTCGTACAAAGGTGAGTGGGCATTCCATCTGGTCTTGGTCTAAGAATGAGTTTG